TAGCAGTGTAGAATCTACAATACTTCTTAACACTTACTGAATAGCAGTATAGAATCTACAATGCTTCTTAACCCTTTCTAAGTAGCAGTGTAGAATCTACAATGTTTCTTAACACTTACTGAGTAGCAGTGTAGAATCTACAATGCTTCCTAAACCTCACTGAGTAGCAGTGTAGAATCTACAATGCTTCTTAACACTTACTGAGTAGCAGTGTAGAATCTACAATGCTTCTTAACACTTACTGAGTAGCAGTGTTAAATCTACAATATTTCTTAATCCTTACTGAGTAGCAGTGTAGAATCTACAATGCTTCTTAACACTTACTGAGTAGCAGTGTAGAATCTACAATGCTTCTTAACACTTACTCAGTAGCAGTGTTAAATATACAATGTTTCTTAACTCTTACTGAGTAGCAGTGTTAAATCTACAATATTTCTTAATCCTTACTGAGTAGCAGTGTTAAATCTACAATATTTCTTAACCCTTACTGAGTAGCAGTGTAGAATCTACAATGCTTCTTAACACTTACTGAATAGCAGTGTAAAATCTACAATGCTTCTTAACCCTTACTGAGTAGCAGTGTAGAATCTACAATGTTCCTTAACACTTACTGAATAGCAGTGTAGAATCTGCAATGCTTCTTACTGGATGGCAGTGTAGAATCTGCAATGCTTCTTACAGAATGGCAGAGGCGAATCTACATTGCTACTGCCCTAACAGCATTATTTTTACAGCGCTTAAAACTGACTGAACTGAAGTGGAGAATCTTTAACACCTTTTGATTGGCAATGGGGAATCTATAGTGCTTTAAACTCAGTGAACATCAGAGAGGAGAACTTACCCTAATTCATTGTCTAATCGTTTCTGGTCCATCATATAATGTGTAACTTGTCCGTCTGTTTCATAACGTTGTTGTCGTATCAATTGACAATCAGCACCAGGTCTAGACTGTAACACTCTCTAAAATACAACATAGATCCAATTTTTAAACCTTTTCAATAAAAAAAAAGGTCCTGAGGTTAAGACCTGATCAGAATTATATATCAATATCAGTAACGTGCTTTTGGGCAATTTTTTGTGGACTCTCAATAACACTCATAGATAAAGATTAAGGTTTAAGACATACCTTGATTCGATGAAGAGTGTTGGCAATAGCTTCACAAATATCTTCATAGTTGAGTTGTTGAGCTCGACGTAAGCCTCGTAATTCCAGACGCAGGTTACAAGTCTTTTCTCGTATAGCAATCATACTGAGTTTCATTTCTTTACTACAAGTCACTAGGGTACGCTGACTGCTACTGTCTGACAATCCTGATAGACCTGTAATGTAGCAACTATTTATGAAATGGAGTTTTACTACTTTTCTGATCCCGATTGAATGTCACATTACATAGTTGAAAATCAAAAGGAATTTTACTTACTACTTTTCTGAGTGAGAATGGTAGAAATAAAATCTTTTCTGTTCTCATCTGATCTAATGCAATAAAGTGTAAAATGAGCAGAGTTTTGTCACTACGGTGGTATTAGCCTGCTCTTTTCAGAATGAGAACAGTGGAGGGATCTTTAACATGTACAGTCATAGTTTCCATGCTAATAAGATATGCTCTTCAGGTAGAATCATGTATTGCACAAAGCTAATCAGAACTGACAATTGTGTATGTCATCCATAGTAATTTAATTTAGCTAATTGATTTACTCAACTTGAGTTAAAATACAAGTTTGGATAAGTCTATATATATTATATAAAATATTCGGCAGAATAAAAAGAAAACAAGCAAAATACAAAAATAGATAGGCTACTGTATGTAAATATGGCACATCTATTTCATAAAAATATATTACAAAAATAAACTGGAGTGAGTGCTTGAAGCAATGTGCAATATACATCAAAAATCAAAAAAAGTATCTGTAACAGCAATGATTCCAAATTAACATTCACCACTGAGCCTGTTTCGATCATGCTGTCAAAAAGGTTTTCCCTTATTCAAAGGGATATTTCCCTTATTCTGCCCCAAATTAAACAAAGAGAATTGTTAAAGACAACCAAACATGCAAATAAAATTAATATATTACTAGTGAAATCCTGACAAATAAAAAAAACCCTCATGATAAATGATAAAAAAACATGACACCAAAACAATTGTTATATTGAATAAAGGGAGGGGAAGGGTAGTGGAAGAGCAGAACTATTTAAATAGCATGGCTTGATAAAGTATGTCACCCCTTCAATTTTGTTTGAACTCTTCCGCACATGCATATTCATGAACTTTATCTTGTGTTGGAGAGTCCATTAAAAATTAAAGGTGAAGTAGAACAAACAATATAATAAGGTTTAAAAAAAAATCAAAATAAGACAATAAGCATGCTTGAAGCCTCAATTATCCAGACATCTAAAAATAAAACAGTGTTACAACAAGATTAGTACCTGGATAATCTAGTCTCAATTTAACCGAGTCTGAAAACAACACAGGATTATGGTGGTTAATTTCTACAAATAAACACAAGACAAAACAAAGAGTTAGTGTTTGGTGTTAAAAATAGTGGGAAGAAAATTAACGAAAATATCTGCATGTGGTATCAAAGAATAAATCAAACATATTACCCTTTTTACACCCAGGAAAATGGTCCCCATACGACCATTTTCACCCATTAGGGTCGAATTTTATTTTTCAATACAGTTAATATTCTTTGTGCCTCTCTATCAAGTAAGGATCAAATTCAAGGTAAACATCTCTAAACTTGCCATTTCTTTTTGGCTTAATGAAGTTTAGTTTATTTAAAACTCTTCAAATTTGTAAAAAAAAAAAAATATTCATACTCACTGCTAGCAGAAGATATTGGTAAGGTCTCGGAACTTTCTGATGCGTTGCTACTAGCAATGCTCCGCCCACTACGACGACCCAGACTGTCAGTGGCTGATTTATGAACCCATGCTGCTAAATTAGCCAATTGTTCCTCCATTTTATCAATTCGTTTTCTAAAAATAGAATATGGAAATTAAGCTAAATTCACCTGTGAGACTTGTGAGATAATTCTTTCTCCCATTGTATTTGAATGTTTGCCATCAAATCCATTTCCGATTGAACACAAATATATATGGGCTTTGTAGACACTGAAAATTACAAGAAATTTGACTTTTGGGCTTACTTGGAATAATACTCTGGGATAGGTGTGGCTGATCTCGGCTGCGAAAAACCATCCTCATCACTGATTGGACGATGTCTGGGTGGAGGTTGTTGATAATAATTTTCAGCAGGAGGTGGAGGACGTCCTGTTGTCATGGGAGCAAAGGCTAGAGAATGTCTGTTTGTTGATGGATGACGTGGTGGTGCGTTTCCTAAAAAAAAAAATTAAAAAAAGGAATAAAAAGATAGCTTGTCAGGCAAGGTAATATACGCCCACAGGCAGCTTTGATTTTAAATAAAAATATTTGGCAGTACAATAACAATTACCAGTATCAGATATTCAACCTTCAGACATACACTTTTGAACTTTTTGAGGCGATACTGAATAATATTACCAAGTTTCATCAAAATCTGTCAAGAATTGGGCCTTTTATGGTGTTTACAGGCTAAAACTTTAAGAACAAGGGCAATAACTCAAACTACGTATTGATAGGGTTCATTCTTGGGTGATTACATATACTCACACCAAGTTTCAGCAAAACCCATCAAGAATTGTAGCTTTTAGAGTGTTTACGTGCTACAAATTGAACAGATTTTCAAGAACAAGGGCAAAAACTCATACTAATTATTTTTCGATTTTTCGGTGACGACAATATATGCCCCCCATTTCATGTGGGCTATCAAAATGAAACATTAGAAATTTCTTGACATTACCAAAATTTGAGTGTTTTTATATTTAATTTTATCGAAAAAAAATTTAAGGAGACAAAGGAAAAGGCTGCTTACTCATATCTGGATGAGGTGGTACCATGGCATACTGTGGTGGTACATTGGCAGGTTGACGTTTAGGTTTTTGCACATAGTTTGGTTCCCCACCATTATGCTTGGGGTAATATTCGCTAGAGGGCGGACCATGGTATCCATAGTAAGGATTCTCATAACTAGTGGTTGTGGGAGAAAATGGACGACCAGCACGAGTTGGTGAGGTGGATTGTGGTTGGTTACGCTGATAATACACTGGTTCGTAATGGCCATTTTGAGAGGGTCGGCCATTTTGCATTTGTCGATGCTCTGGAATGGTACCAAGAAGGCCTCTTTCTGGAGTATGTTGACGTTCTGGTGAATATCGTGATCGTCCTGGTAAGGATTTGGGTCTTTCAGGTTCTGGAGTTCGTGACCTTGACCGTGATCTGCGTTCTACCTCCCATTGTGTTCTGGGGTCACCATCTATCATGTAGGTATGATATGGCTGCATGGCTGCCTGCAAGTTAAATTATCATTAAATGAAAAGTACATTAAATATCAAGCAAATATCAGAACATAAACACGAACAGTACATAACATATTCACCAATGAATAGTAATAGAAACCATGCAAGTCAGACTAATATTCTGTTCCTATTTATTATGTTACAATCTTATAGCTATGGAATCATTAACTAAAGTAAACTTACGTCATCTCTAGAGCGTTGTGGTATGGTGTCAGCATGCCGTGGTTCATAATGTCGTGGAGGAGGTGCCGATATAGCTCGACCACGTATCTTAGGCTGATCCTTTAACTTCTGAGGTTTATCACTGTCACACTCGTGGATTCTTAATACTGTTCTGTCTCGTATTTCACTGTAATCAATTATTATATACTATATATCACTGTCTAAACCGATCTTGTGTGTTGTTTTGGTTTATTGGTACATCAGTCCTACCCGTTTGAAACTGCTTATTTGTAAAGATTTTTCTACCAGTAGAGTAAACCCTATTCAGCTCATGTTTCTAATTGGTGGGTGAACAATCCAAGGTTTGACAAATTTGCTTTGCTATGATATGAAGAAAAGGGCCATTTCAGAAAGGCTATATGGAGAGATGATTTGTTTTCATACCTGAGATCATCTAGTTGAAAGAATATATTGGTTTTTGGGTCAAGAATGTAGATTTTCTGACGAGGTGATTCCAAGAAATCAAATGTTAGTTTTTCTGGAAAATGATGAACGAACAAAGCTCGGACTGTATCTAACGTTGTAATCTCATTGGGTAATAAGCATTTCTTGGTTTCATTTCCGTAAACTAGGAATGCTAAACCTGAAACCAAATTCATACATACATAACATAATAAGTAATTTCTTTGTCATTAGTTCAACAGTAAGCCACTCTCATCTGTACGATTCTATGGTAGGGTGAAAAACTAAGCGAAAGTTTCAGGTCATAACAAAGGAAAACCCATTTCAAGGTCAAGAGAAATTATCTCAGGTTCAAGGTCATTAAAAGTTCAAAAGAGCTAATCTGACTTATAGTTCAAGGTCATTGGAAGTTCAAGGTCAACAGAAAACTCACCTAATGTTCTATCCAGTGAAAGCGAAGGGGTGCGAACTATGGGCAAACTAGATCTTTGAAATCCACCACGAGTAAATCCAGTTGGAACATCAATATCTGACATGGCTCCAGAATCATCATATTCTACTGATCTATTGGGATGATATGTTACTATGGTAGTTTGACGCCGTCGTGGATCACGTTGTCTAGAAGTCTGGAATAGACAAATTACATATATTAATAATCTTGTAATTTATACAGTTAATAAATACAATCGTCTCAATATTTTCTTTGGTATTAAAAGCCTTTACGTCAAGCTCCAAAATAATAAGTACTGTGGCAGGTGTCGCTAGTGATTCAGTGCATGATCCCCCTTCAGACCTCCGTTTGACACCCTTCTCTGAGAGTCCACATAGATAATACTGTTTGTTAGGTATTTCAAATTAAGAATCCCTTTCTGAGAGTTTACATAGCTAATATTGTTTATTTGGTTTTTGGGATTGTCAATTTGTCAACTCAGCTAATATTGCTTAAGATATATCTATAAGTACTGGTTTAAGACAACTGTATGCTGTCATTGATTGACATGTACTCTGTAACCTTCAATGACATTTCAATATCATCACAGTGGGGGAGTGCACATTTTATTTGCTAACGTACATTTAATCAAAATGACTGAACTGAAGTTTTACTTATATAGCTTATATGAACTCTTAGTAAGGAATACTTAGTTGATAAAGCCAGTCAAACAGTAGCATCAGGTGTTTAAGAAGTATGAATACTAGAGGTTTTTGAACTCGGACAAGCCAAAAAGTTGAAAAATGACCTCAAACTCACTCTTGTCCACCAGCAGAGTCATCAGCCAAAACTTTTTAATTAATATACCAATTATTATAAGTGGTTTCTTCACAATAGTTTTTGAGTTGATACAGTCACAGTGGTTTACCCACTTTCATTTTTGTCATACTCAGCAAAAATTTAAAATAAAATTTCTAGACAAGTAACTAAACAATTAAATATTTATAATTTTGTATCTTTTTTTCTAACATTGTCATACTAATGTCACTTTGATTATATCATTTCACATGTAATTTTTATCTTCTATGTAAAGTAGTTTTTGATGTTTTCCTGCAGTAATATGATTTAATTGTTTGATCAGTCAATTAGTCACAAGTTCACCATGACTTACCAGTATTTATTATTTAGAAGGAATAGTTGCAATATTGATAGATACTTAAAAAGAATTTCACGCATTATTGACAAGGTAAAATCTGAAACAAATGCCTTGATAACACAATATCTCAGATCAAAATGGGTGGGTACAGGGCAATTGGAGGGTGGTCAACTATTTTTCTGACCTGTAACATTGAGAGTGGAAAGCTTGAAACACGTGCCTTTATTATACCCTCTGTCATGCTTTTATCCATGTCAGCCTCTCTGAACAACTGAAGGCCCTTGGGTAAGATGTACTTTCCAGTCTCAAGGATTAATGAATGAATTAATGAATGATTGAAATATAAGATATTTAGATTGTGATAGAATGATAGAATGAATGAATGAATAACCAAGTAAAAGATACCTATTTGTGTGTGTAAATTACAAGGTATACAATGTCCTAGTGGTAAATACTGTATTATCTAATCTGAAGGTAAAAATGACAGATGAGTCACAATATCAACAGATATATATATTCTTATCTCTTCTCTCAACCTTTACATTATATGTTTAATAAATTTATGTCATTGTGTTTTCTTTTTTAGTAGGCTTATATTTCACACAAATCATATACTTTATACTAAATTTTTTTAAGATCCTGGTCTTTGACAAGCAAGAGCTCAAATGACTAATTTGGAGACTATAAATACATTTTTACTGCAGATTTTTTTTTAGCTTTATAATCGCATTTAGTCCCAAGGTGAGGGCTCATGGTTCAAATACACACTAAATATTATAAGTATAATTATTTAACTATGAAAATTAACATGCTTTAAAAACCTGCAAAAGTCAATTGCATTTTTTTCGTTGAGAAATTGGGAATCTGAATTTATATATAAATGGCCAATTGCAGGTATATTTTACGCGTATCTTACAATACATGAGCAAACCAACAAACACTTCAATGATAACTATCCAATAATAAAATATTTTCACTGTTAAAATAGTGTTTAACAGAACTTCTGAACTTGGCTTGAAATTTAGACATGAGAATAAGTTCTACTTGTCCAACTTCAGTAGGAATGCAGTCTGAAAAAGTTGTCTAAAAATCACATAGTGTGAAACTCTGAGTAACAATATGATTCAAGTTCTATTTGAATATTTCTTGTGATAACTATCCTTAGATATCATAAAATACTTTTAGCAGTGTTAATCTTAGAAGGATTCACACTGAACATTGTGAAGTACTTTGCAAGGCCCAAAAATTCACACTTGACTTCATGAAGTATGCCCTTCAACTAAGATTTGGTCACTTCATAGTAATAACTAAACATACTTCACTAAATTAAATTCATGAGCAAAATAATTTAGTTTCTATTTCAAAGAATTGAAAAGATTCAATATTTTGCCTCATATGTTGAATGGATATCCAATTTACATATTGTTTAAACAAGGGGCATAGTAGAATAACGTACCAGAGTAAACATTATAAATTAATGATTTGATATGTCAAAAATAACATTTTTCTTCATAGAACGTGCAAGTTTAGTTGCAAAATTTTTTTGGAAACGGGGTCCAAACACTTTCTACCCTGTATCAGCACATGACTGTCAACAATATCAACCTTATATCAGCAGATGACTGTCAACAATACCAAACAATTGTCAATAATAACTATCAGTCTTAGCAATTTCTAGCATGTTTCTGCCCATATGTTTCTCTTTTAAATTGCACATAAACCTAAAATCAGTTTTTTATTCAGAAAAGTGACATGTCTATGTATTCCTTTGGTTAAGGATTTAACACAGTGATGTGTTACTTTTATTCAAAATCCCTGAATGCATAAAATTGTCCGAAAAAAAATCAAAGAAGTTCTGTGGTTAAAATAAAAATACCACAAGTTCAGGTGTCACATGATCACTGTCCGTCAACTCTGGTTAATCTGTTTAAATCTTTTCCTTAATCCAACAATGTTGACAGTAATCTCACGGAAACTATCAACAGTCAAAAAGAAAACCTAGAGTCATGTCAGAGTGACAAAATGTAATACTGAATGAATAAATATTCTGGCAAATAAATGAGTAAATGAATGAAAGATCGTTTTACTAAACGTGAAGACACCATGACCATCGGTTGAGATAAAGAATATTTTACTTAATTTTGATAAACAAACAACACCACAATCCATTCTCATTTAATTCTACTAAATTATTAATATAAAAAAACTCACCTTGCATCAAATTGATTAAACAGTTGCATAATGGCATTCCATATTTCCAAACAGAAAAGCCAAATATGAATGAATCAATGAATGAATGAACACATACATGTTATAAATCTATGCAGAATAGGTCAATGAATGAAATAGAGCACAAGAGTAATAAATCAAGCCAGACCAATCTAGTTGACATAATAATGTCACAAAGGTAATAAAATAAAAGTAAAACACCTACCATATTCAGATAAGTAGTAATAAATTTAGATCACAATATAATCACACATCATTACACAAACACAAAATCTATCAACAGACAATAAGAATAGTGGAATTTTCCAACATTATATACGCAAAGCACCAAAACATTCTAATGATGTTATCTAAAAATCAAGTCCACAAGTCCACACTTAACATTGCAAAGTCTAAACTTTACTTAGACTTCACTTAAAAAAAAAGTCACTTCCTACCATATTCTTTTTGCAAAAATCAGTAATATTATCAATGCTTTTTACACAACAAACTCACAAATCCAATAATCAATTAATGAACACTTTCCAAATTCATAATCCATAGACATTATCAAACCAAAAGATGTTTAATACAGGAGATAATTTCTAAAAGTGCCATATCAAAGAATTGTCTAAGTTTTGTAAAATCATCTCTCAAACAAAATATAAAAGCATAATCCTAAATAGTCAATGTGTTACGATCTATCCTTTGTTAATCTTAATCTTTACTTAAACACTGAGGTCATTCGGGTGTGAACCACATACAAGAGGCAAAATTCAATATGGCTGACGACAAGTTTGATAGCAGATGACATTAACACCTGATTACATCATACCTGTACCCTGACAACAGGTATTCTGACAGGTAACAACAGGTAACATGGTGTAACCTGAGGTCACGCTAATCTTGAGTCATGCCCCAAGGTTATTTGAAGATGAAACCACAAAAATCATTTTTGATGGATGTAAGTATAAAATATAACGACAATACTCAAATTCTGAATAAACTTCTAATTTAGTCACCTGATAAAGCAAAGAAAAATCAGAAATGAAATGTAACAAAATGCAATACTCTTGTCTAGGGTCTAATAAAGTTGGACAATGCCATGCACTGCACAATGAGGTAATCTGTATTTTCTAAACTGTGATGCTGGCAAGTGAACAAGATCCATCCCTTCCTATATTTTTGCGAATATGTGCAAACAGGGTAATCATTGGACTACAGTAACTTGTGATCCTATGTTTGGAAAATCACCAGATAAGCATGATAAGTAAGCTTATCTTTATTTCATTATAAATATATCCAACAGTGGACTATAACAATTCAAAATGAAATGAAATGAATGGAGTTTTACGTCCTACTTTTCTGCACCATGTGGGCTAATGAAGACGGTATAATATAACAATTCAAGACAATGCTATGTTGGTATTTGAATGAAAGAATTGTTGCAGGTGTGAAAGAGTAAAAATCAATGCTTATACTCATTATGGTGGAAATTAATCAATAACAATGGTAGCAAAGGAAAGCGTTGAATTATACAACACAGATTACTTGATTGATGAACAAATAATTTTACACCTTACAATTACAACCAGATTTCTTGTCAGTCATGCAGGTTGAAGGGGCTGACATGGAAAAGCATTCTGATATTCGAATTTGACTAAAAACTTGTATGCTACAGGCTGTGTATGTTAAAGATCCCTGTACAAGATAAAATACAGGTAAAATAAGATGGGATCCAATTTGCAACAAATTTA